CCTGGGTGAGTTGCTCTTGCAGAAAGCTGGTTTGGACACAATGAGCCGAATGGAATCTTTCTGTGCTGCATCCATTTTCTGAATCTATGCATTTACTGTTTGTACAATACAATTTGAATCAGACATGAATTAAATACATAAATACCGTTGGCCTGGAAGTTCTGATGAAAGGGGTCACAGATCTAAAGCACAGGGTGGAGTTGTCTCAAATTTCCCCAGCCCTTGTGCAACATGGTCAATGGCAAGAAATGTGGGAAAACACAGCACAACTGCAAAGAATTGATCCTTGATGTTGAGAAAAAATGTTCCAATTTTCACCTTAAGGTTTCATCTGTAAATTCTGAATCTTGCTAACAAGCAGCAATGAAATTAATTTCATATGTTTTCATCACATCATTCATTAATCTTGCCTCCTTTACTGCCAAACAACTAGACTGTGCCAATTCCTGACTTGAAAGGCGATCAGTTATCTGGTAGACACAGCTCACCTCGTGCTTCTTCGGACTTCCATCTTACATATGACCATACAAATTAGAGGCAGGAGTAGGACATTCAGCCCATCAAGCCTGCTCTGCCATTCAATAATATTATGGCTGATCTGACTGTAACCTCAACTCCACATTTCTATCTACCCCTGATAGCCTTTCACCGCCTTGCTTAACAAGGATCTATCTGTCCATGCCTTAAAAATATTCAAAGGCTCTTCTTCCACCACCTTTTCAGGAAAAGAATTCCAGAAACAATGAAAAAAAAGTCACCTCATCTCCATTTTAAATAAGCGACCTCTGATTTTAAAGTAGTGGCACCTAGTCCCAGATCCTTCCATAAGAGGAAACATCCTCTCCACATCTAAATAAAAACCGAAAGAACAGTGGATGCTGGAAATCAGAAACAAAAACAGAAATTGCTGGAAATGCTCAGATGGTCTGGCAGCACCTGTGGAGAGAAATCAGAGTTAAAGTTTCAAGTTCACTGGCCCTGAGTTCTGACCGGTGCAGACATAGTGTGCCGAAGGGCCTATTCCCATGCTGTTCTGTTCTATGTTCTATGTGACATTACGGAAGCCAAGGGCGGAGTGGGGAAAGCCAAGGACATTCAACATTAAATAAAAGGGATGGGAATGTGGGGAGCCTGAAAACTGAAGCAGTTGACAGGGACAGCAACATAAAACAGAATGTGAAAGAGGGGATTGTGTGTATGGATCTTGACTGTGGAGGAATTAAAAAAAAAGACTGTCAACACATTCGTGGTGGGCGGAGCAAGTTTTTGTTTGTCTGTGTCTGCAGCTGTTACATGTTTGTGCTGCTAACCAGAGTCTGGGAGTTAATGGGCATTGGATATCAAATATCCTTAAATGAATATGCACGTCCTTGTAAAACACATGGCAGTTTGAGGAACATACTCCCCCAGAGAATAATGCACTCACAAATGTCACATAGTCACACACAGACTGGCTGTAAGTGTGAAACATGAGCAGAGGCAAAACCCAATTAAAAGGCATTCACATCAACTATGGCCTCCATGATCTCCACATTGAAGTGCTGAGTCTTGGCTGCAGTCATGAACATAAGGGCTGAAGGATGTCTGAAATCTGGAGCTGTCCAGGCTGTTCCTCAAAGATGAGCATAGCTTTGTCACTATAACATCTATGCCCCCTTGGGAAAGGCTGAACCTTTTTAACAGCAATATCCTTTACAGACATCCAGCTCCAGTGAAATAACACTCCCATCTTCACTTGTATAATTTGTCAGTTGAGTCAGGAATTTAAGTGTTTCCTTTCAGTGGTTTTCTGCACACTCACCAGATGTGATTGTCTCTGTTTCTGCCCAAAACACACAGACAGGCTAACTCATTAATGTTTTTAATGACTTGGACTATGAGGCTGCTAAACAGCACATCTGCTGGTATGGATCTTTTGTCATGAACCTCTTTTTGGCTTTTGGTCTCTCTTTCTGGTGGCGATAAAAGCTCATCAAGATAAATACTTCAGCAATTACCTCACCAGGTAGTTTATCAAATCATTCATCTTAAGTGATATGATTTCCTGGAAATGCAGTTTTGACCCAATGCTAAAAGATGGGTTTCTCACCATAAAAAAGAGGCACTTTCACAGAACTGAAAGCCAAAATCCTTAAAATGTATATTTTATAAGCCAAGCTGCGAAATAACAACATTATAAAACATCATCATTTATTATTCTACTGAAGCTTTTTTAATTCATTTGTGGGATGCGGGTGTTGCTGGCTGGGCCAGCATTTATTGCCTGCTCCTAGTTGCCCTTGAGAAGGTGTTGGGGACCTGCCTGTTTGAACTGCTGCAGTCCACTTGTTGTTGGTTTACCCACAATGCCATTGGGGAGGCAATTCCAGAATTTTGACTCAACGATCTATGATGTGCCTTAATTTACTTTGCTCCACCTTTGCTGGCCATGCTGTCTAGCTATTTAGACCCAAAGCTCTTGAAATCCTTCTCTAAACCTCTCCACTCACTTCCGCTGATTCCTCCTTTGGGTTCTGTCTTAAAAATTACCTCTTTGACCAAACTTTTGGTCAGACATCATAATATAATTGAAAAAAAATGAGGTGTCAACCTGGAGAAGACTAGAGCTCCAGAACTTGCTACAGCCTTAGCCAAGCTATTCCAGTACAACTAGAAGATTGGCAATAAGCTGACCATGTAGAAATATGCTCAGGTATGTCCTGTACACATAAAGCAGAACAAATCCAACCAGCCATTTACCAGCATATCAGTCTATTCTTGATCATTAGTAAAATGGTGGAAGGGGTCATTAACAGCGCTATCAAGCAGCACATGCTTAGCAATAATCTGTTCACTAATACTCAGGTTGGGTTCTGCTAAGGCTACTCAGCTCCTGACCTCAATATATCCATAGTTCAAACGTTGACAAAAGAGCTGGATTCCAGAGCTGAGGTGAAAGTGATCGCCTTTCCCATCAAGGCAGCATTTGATTGACTAAGGCATCCAAGGAGCTCTAGCAAAACAGGAGTCAATGGGAATCAGGGAAAACTGATTAAAGTCATACCTGGTACACAGCAGAATGGCTGTGGTTATTGGAGATCCAGTCATCTCAGCACCAGGGATATCTCTTCAGGAGTTACTCAGGGTCGCACCCTTGGCCGATCTAGCTTCAGTTGCTTCATCAATGACCTTCCCTCCATCATAAGGTCAGAAGGAGGGATTCTTGCTGATGATTGCACAATGTTCAACACATTTGTATCTCCTCGCATACTGAAGCAGTTCATGGCCACAGGCAGCAAAACCATAACAATATACAGGGTTGCACTGACAAATGGCAAGTAATATTTGTGCCACACAAATGCCAGGTAATGTCCACTCTAACAAAAGGGAATCTAATCATGTTCCTTGATATTCAACAGCATAACTATCACTGAATTCTTCCCACTATCAACATCTCGGGGGTTGGCATTGACCTGACCCTGAATCAGATGAGCCAAATAGGTACAAGTAACTCATCTCCTCACTTCCCAAAGCCTATCCACCATCTACAAAGCACAAGTCAGGAATGTGAAGGAACACATCCAAATGCCTGGATGAGTGTAGCTCTAACAATACTCAAGAAGCCATGTACCATGCTGGACAAAGCAGCCCACATGATTGGAACTGCAGTCACAAACACTCAGTCCCTCCACCACTGATGTTCAGCAGTAGCAGTGCGTACCATTCACATGATACACTGCAGAAATTCACCAAGGCTCCTTAGACGGTACCTTCCAAACCCACAACCATTTCTGTTTATAAGGACAAGGGCAGTAGTTACATAGGAACATCAGCACCTACAACTTCTCTCAAAGCCACTCACCATCCTGACTTGGAAATATATTACCATATCTTCAGTATCGCTGGGTCAACATCCAGGAACTCCCTCCCTAACATTATTGTGGGTGCACAATAAATTACAGCAAATAAGACTGCAGTGGTTCAAGAAAGCAGCTCAGCTCCCACATTCTCAAGAGTAGTTAGCGATAGGCAATACATGGTGGCCCAGCCAGCGATTCTCACATCCCCTGAATGAATAGAAACAAAAATCTCTCAATGTGGCTTTGTGTCAAGTTTTGTTTGGTAGTCTCTCCTGTCAAATGCCTTAGCAGGACTTACTGTGTAAAGGTTATATACAAATGCAACTTGATGTTGGAGGTAGTTTGGCAGGAAAACAAGACTGTGTGGGATTTAGTGTCACATATGCAGTTAATGGAATACACCAGATGCCAATATACATCACTGCATCACAATGCCTTGGCCACTGCCAACCTGTCCTATTCTCTCACCCAGTGGAGTAAATCTAACTTCCTAGATTAAGAGAATGCACCCAGTAAACATACCTACTGTTTAGGCTGTAAGTAGAGTTAAATGTATAAAAAATGAGGCTATTCCTTTCTCCCCAAAATGCAGAAAGTATATCGGATTCACACAAGTACAAGATTTTTATAAAAAAGCAATGTTGATGTCAGTTTAATTTTAACTTTAAGCCCTAGGAAGTGTATTTTTATGAGCCTTTCCTGAAGTGTCCCTTGAGGTATTATATGAACTGAGCTATGTTAACCCCAAAAAGAACATAAAAGTGAATGACAGAGCTAATAGGTTTGCTGGAGGGTTTGAAACCTGTTTAAAAAAATACCACGTGGTTCTTGTTCCTGCAGCTGAAAACGGTGACTACATTAGACACTAGGGCAGAAATAAATCCTGGTTTTCCCAGACCACCTATGGGAAATAATATTTAAACGCAAAGGAAAACAAGTTTAAATTTAACTTGTTTTGTAAGACATTCATCCCTTGTTTCCCAAGTTACGTGAGGCTGGATTTGCACATTACTAACATACTGCATGAAATATTACTTGGTCAATTCTGAGTAAATTGTGAATAAAATTTGCAAATGAGAAACGTGCATTAACTACTTTAATTTTGTATTCCAAATGGAATTGTCACCAACCTTCTTTAAAAAATCATCATGAAAGACCTACCTCCATTCTTGCCTATTTGCCGGAAGCACCGCCAGAACATTCGTATAAATGAAGCCCTATTGTAAGGGGTAGCTTTGATGAAGGCAAATTCACGAAACAAAATGTGACTTCCGAGTTGGACACTGTTAAAACTAAACAGAAAAGAAACAGCATTAATGATGGCTCATACTCACAAACAACTAAACCATTGCACTCATGAATGAGATTGAAGGTGATAATAGTGAATCGAACAATGATCGACAATGAGAGGCATGATAGCAACACTGTGCAGGATTTAGTTGCACTTATATGAAGTTAAGTTTTAAATCATAACAAAAGATATATGTGGTCCTCTTCATAATTACACAACAGGTTTTGCTTCCCTCTTTGGTATGTTGTTTTAGGAATCTCACGACAGAAGAAACCTAGAGACATGGTGATTCATCGACATGATAAGAATGTACAAATCTTTCGGTTTTATACGCATATTTGAATTGGGAGCATGAGTAGGCTATTCACCCCTTCAGCCTGTCCTGTCATTCAATCACATTATTGCTGATCTTATTGTGCCCTCAGCTCCACTCCTGCCTACCCTTGATAACCACTAGTTGTCCTGTTAGTCAAGAATATATCCACCCTTGCCTTAAAAAAATTCAATGATCCCTTTTCCACCACTCTAGTGAAGAGAGTTTCAAAGACTGATGACCCAAAAATGAGAGGTTAGAGCTGTGAAGACTCATAAAAGGCAACTTTTTTCAATGAAAAGAGAAGGTTAAGGAGAGATCACTTGGACGTTTTCCAAATTCTGAAAAGTTTTGACAAAGTATAGCATTGAAAATGCCTATAGATATAAAATACTGCACATGCTAGAAATCTGAAATGCAAACAGAAAATGTTGGAAATAGCATCTGTGGAGGGAGAAACAGAGTTAACCCAGTTCTAACAAAAAGCTATCGACCTGAATATTAGCTCGCTGTCTCTCTCTGCATATACCTCCAGAAGTGTTGAGTGAGATTGTTTGCATTATTTCACAAATTGGTACAGGAGACTTAGAATCAGGATAAATATGCAGAGTAAAAGGGGTGGCTTGAAGAAATTTTCACACAATTATTTGAACATTGAATGCTTTATCATGATGATATATAGACGATATATACATTAAAAAGAAATTAAGTATTTGATAATAACAGCATACATAAAAATATGAAAGGAAAGACAGATGGGACTAAATTAGGAATGAAAACAGGGTAATGAGAAAGCTGGAATAATCTCATTAGGTATAGCAGCATCTGTGGAGAGAGAAACAGATTTAACATTTTTATTCCAGTAGGGCTCTCACATAAGAACATAGAACATACAAAATAGGAGCAGGAGTAGGCAATTCAGCCTTCTGAGTTCATTTTGTCCTTCAAGAGTTTATGATTGATCTCCTGCATATTATCCCTTCCTGCACTATCTCTTAATTTTTTTTAATGCGTAGAAGCCACCTTCTGATGATTTTTCTTCAGTTCTGAAATTTCTGAGAACAGAAAATTGTACTATTAGCTGGGAAATTCAACTACCTTCATATTAACTGGGATAAATTCATTGTAGAAAACGGTGTAGAAGACACAAAATTCAGCAAATACATTCAGTGGACCTTTCTTTTGCCACCACATTAAACCCAAAAAGATTGAGCTGTTCAGAACACATGTTCAGGGAATGAAGTTGGGCAGGTGGAACGAGTAACAGTGGGTCAGTATTTAAATAGCTGTGGTCATGAGTTAGTTAGATTTTCAGCGGTAATGTAAAAGAATAAAGGCAGAACAAGAGTAAAAGTTTTAAATTGGGGAAAGGCGAACTTTACTAAATTGAGATGTAATTTGGCAAAATTTAATAAACTTTAAATTTAATTTTAGTTTAAAGGTAATTTGGATTGGAATCAGCTATTCGAAGATAAATCAGTTGCAGAGCAGTGCAAAGCTTTCAGGAGGAGATAAAGAAGATTCAGAACAAATATGTTCTCACAAAAAAGGGTTAGTCTTGAAATACTAGACCTGCTTTTTGTGCCCAGTGTGAACATGCAGCACTCTTTCTGTGGTGTAATTATTTTCCATGTTTCTATATTTGTATCAGTCTGAATCATGTTTGATGCAAAAGTAAACAAATTATCCCCTGACAAAATAATCTTTAAAAGCATATCTTGTCACTGCAAATTTTGCAATCAAAACATGATTTAGTTAGATTTGATTTAATTTATATGCACCAAGGACTGACAGTGATGAGTCTCAATGAAAATAACTGGATAATGACAACAGATGCTATTCAGCCAAAATTCCAGAAAATGAAGACAGAAACACAAATGCCTTAGTTTATAGAGAAAATGCAAACAGCACAATTTTCAATTAAGGGAGCAGAATTTCATTGACTACTGGTAAACCGGTTAAGTGATCCTGAAATACAAGACTGATGTGGTAAAACTACAAGGATAAGCCAGGATAAGGCCACACTGAGGTGAAAACTAATGAAGTACAAACCTACCATAATTCACCTTTGTGGAATCGTACAGGATCTAAAGCACAAAGACATTTTCATTGAAGGGGCTGTTACAATTTAAATGAATAAACATGAAGTTCAAAGTCCTTTTTTGTCCAGCTTTATTTATTGATTTATTAAAAATAATTCAACTTTGTAGTTTAATTTCAGTTAGCATAATTTCATATTGCAGATGGATTGAAAGAGAAAACAGAACACATACCTGATATGCCCTTACTCTTCTCATTTTTATTAAAAGAACTTTTTGATTCTTTGGTAAATTGTCTTAGGGCTGAATCTTATGATATGTTTGCTGAGTGTCAATTTGTTGCATTTCATGGAAGGTTTCTCTCCATGAGGCCTAGCAAGATTTTTCACATCATCCCAAACTTGCTTCATTAACCACCATCCACGTCTCACGGCACCCCTCTTAGCTGATGCTAGACAATTCTACCATTCACTGTAGCTGTAAGAGTTCACCATTCACTGCATGTCCTGGAATGGACAGCCCGCAGTTGCACACCTGACATTTCTCTACATTTCCTGATAATTAAAAGAAATTTGTGCCCCACTTTGCATGCAGGGGTCTGAATGTTCTGGTCAATTGCATAGTTCAGAGGAGGGAAGTCCTCCTTCTCCTGGATTGGCAAAGGAAGCCACAGCATCAGACTCCGCCAGCTTGGGCTGAGCACCTGCATCAGGGCAGTCTCAATTGTTTGGAGGAACGCATGCCACTGCTGTAAATAGATCAATAACCTGCTCCACTTTGCCATGGTTAGTGCCACCACCTTTTCTCTCTCACTTCACATTCTCCTACTTCTATTCCTGCTACTGACACAACCTCCCACCAAGGCTAATGCTCTACCACTCTCACTGTCACATGCAACATCTCCCCTCAATCTCTCTCCTCCACACTTCTCATACAATGAACCCTGCATGCCCTCTGTCCTGTCTACTCACCCACTTGTGGCATCTCACCATTTGCCCCAGCACTAAAAGCTGTGCCACCCATTTCCATATCACGCAATCCCATCTTTTATCTCATTCCAGGAGAAGACAACCCAAAATAGGGCAAAAAGGGCCCAGACAAGTGGTGGGGATTCCCAAAATTAGGCTCTTCACCTTCCATGAAGAAAGAACCCTAACCCTCACAGGAGAATATGAAGACTGCTCCTGAAGGGATGCTAAGACATCAAAATCGTTCTGACAACTGAGTAAGTACAATTCTTTATTCCACTGCAACTATCATGTTAATCCCATTGTCATTATCATCCATTACAACAAATTACAACCATTGTTCGCAACACTCCTCTTTTCTATATCTTGCAGGTACAAATGCAATGTGCACTGTCAAGCTGGCTTTTCTACAAGGAAGGCTCCCAAATCTCTCAGCAGGCAAGTTCAGAGGCCTCAGCACAGGCCTTAGCAAGGCTGCTTCCTGCATGCATACCCCATCCCATTTCCCACTCCAACCCCAATCCCCACCATCTCACACCTTGATAGAAAGTCTAGCTAGGTTACAGTTGGGAGCATAAGCTGGTGAGCACAACACTCCCACATTTCTACAATATGTCTTTCCTTAGATAAGGGACCCAAAATTGCTCATAGTATTCCATCTGTGGTCTGATTAGTGCCTTGTATAGTTTTAGCAAAACCTCTTTACATTTACACTCAATTCCCTTTGAAATAAATGCCAGCATTCCATTTGCCTTTCTATTATCCGCTAACCTCGTATGCTAGCCTTTTGTGATTCATGGACGAGGACCCCCAAATCCCTCTGTGCTCTGGCTTTCTGCAGTCTTTCTCCATTTAAATAATATTCATTGCCACTATTCTTCCTGCCAAATACATAACCACACATTTTCCCAGATTGTATTCCATCAGCCACTCAATCTTTGTTCTATAGCATTGTATAAATCGCAAATTCATTTTAAATAACAAACTTAAAAGAACAACGATCAAAGTGAGGGTGCGGTCTATGGGTCTGCATTAAAATCAATAGAAGCTCCACTTTATCTAATTTGAGGAGTCGCCATCAATTTTGAAGTATATTATCATCTGCAAAATACCACAGCTGCCATAAAACCTGGCTTATAAATCATATCAGTTAAAAAAATGTCTCACCCACATCTTTTAAAGTGAACAACAGGAGATTGTTCACATTTGGCAGACATCATACCTCCAAGTTTACAAGTCATAAAGGTCTTTTATGTTCATACGAGAGATTTTAGAGTAATTGTTTAAGTTCTTTCTCTAGAGATTGCAAAACAGATGTTCTGAAGTTGCCAAATATTGCTGAGATAAAAATTAACATTTATTTGTGGCCATTGGGGAATTAACTATCCATTTCAAATTGCACTTGCCCATGGACCTCCCAATGATAATGTAATGTAATCAGAAATTGTAAATAGCTTAGTGCCCTCTACAGAAGACCTGTGATTTATGAGAACAGGGGAAACAGCAATATTTCCTAAACCACTCAGTTTGAAGAATTCTTCATGAGCAGTGCAAAGTCATGTAGGGAAGGTAAAATAAAGTGAAGGAAGGAAAGACAGAGGGATTCATGAAGCAAGAAAATATATAGTTTTAAATCTCCAACTATAATTAAAATCTGAAGGAATGAAACTTCCCACACACA